ATAGCTTGGTCAGACCATCATCAATCTGATGAGTAGCAGGCACATAATTGAAACGCATTGGTTTGCTGTAACTTTTCTGAACAAAATGTATGTCAAGATCAACGTGTTTGGTATGAGTATGATAGACAGGGTTCATACTCATAGCCATAACACTAGTGTATCGCACCATATGACTGACTCTTCTTTCTAACAGATACCAAGTTCTGCAAGCAGTGCTCCAATCCAGGCCACATCTGATGCAGTGTCAGCAACTTTGATTCAACCTCTATTGTAGAACGAGATATAGATTTTGTTTCTTCGAGCTCCAAGCAACAAAATTGTTGCCAACAAAAACACTATGCCCAAACACTGATCTTCTGTCATCAAGGTTACCGCCCCAATCTAATCTGCAAAGGCAGCGACCTTGACTCAGTCCTAGTAGCAGTGAATACCAGACCAAGTTCATCGTGCGAACGAAGTAACGCAAAATTCGTTTGTTGTAATCATACGCGACTATCGTGGTGCATGCATATATTGTGCAACTTGTTTACACAGAATGCAATATCAGGCCTTGTGTGGCACACTAAAGCAATCCTCCAACAATGTTGTGATAATTGTGTTCATCAGCAATAAGTTCCCCATCATCACAACGTAACTTGGTGGCTGCCACCATGGGAGTTGGTGTAGAAGAAGCTTCAACATGTTAGCTTTCTCCAGAAGCTCCATAACAAACTTCTTTTGTGACAAAGCAAGGCACTCACTTGTTTGTTTGACTTTAATGCCCAGGAAGTATGAAAGTTGATCGATATCCTTTAGTGAAAACTTGTCACTTAGAAATTGAACTACTTATCTATCTCGAAACTTGAATGGCCTGTGATGATTATATCATCAACATATACCAGCAGATATATGTAGTGCACACCCTTCTTCTTGATAAACAAAGACACTCAGCTCGTGACTCTTTAAAGCTAATACTCAACAAGTTATCTCAAAGCTTGGTATAGCAACTCAAGTGTCTTTCTTAGCCCATAGAGCGTCTTTTTCAATTGACACACTAGCTTACTTCCATCAGGAGCAGCTTGTTCAAACCTGGTGGTTGTTGCATGAAGACCACCTCCTAAAGATCATCATTCAAAAACGCATTGTTTACATCTACTTGTTATAGAGCCCAGTTGTTAGTTACTGCTAGTGAAAGAATAACATTCAAGGTGGTGAATTTAACCACAGGGCTGAATGTGTCTCTGAAGTCATAGCCAGGAATTTGTGAGAAACCTTTAGCAACCAAGTGTTCCTTGTAACGATGAATCGAGCCATCAGGATTTTTCTTTGAGTCTGAACAACCATTTACAGCCTACCACATTCCTTCATTCTGGTAACCTAGTGAGCTCTCAAGTTTTATTGCGTTGCAGTGCATTATATTCTTCATAAACTGCTGCTTTCCACTCTGAAGACTTAAGTACTTCATGCACATTTCATGGAACATTGTCAAAAATAGATGGTTTTAAACACTCTACATTTGCTCCGAGTCATCATAGGGTGAATGTTGCCACAACTTATCTCGATTTCAGCACCATCACTTATAGCCACGTCATCAACATGTTGAACTCCAGCACATCACTTAAGGACATGTTATCAGTATGTCGTTTTGAGCCCATCTCATGCTCTACACTTCCACTGCTACCATAAGTAGGAACTATAGGTAACTCGGCATCAATAACAGGAGCAATCTAAGTTCCTTCCCTATCATGAGCACCATCTAATATTTGCAATCTACCTGATGAACTGCTGCTGACATTTGTGGACAACCTGTAGTCATCAGGTTGTTGAGTCCTGAACCTAGTGACATCAGTGACCAGCTTAAGAGACCGAGACTGCTTCCACTCGAAGCTGCAACAGAACTCCTACCAAAACTATCTGCAAAAGGAAATACATTATCATTAAACACCACATGCCTAGAAATGTAAACACGTCCATCACTTGTTAAACACTAGAATCCTTTATGTTGTATACTGTAACCTAAAAATGTACACAACTAAGATCAAAACTCAAGCTTGTGACGTGAGAATAGTCTTAGATGTGGAAAAAATCTACAACCAAACACTCTCAGTCCATTGTAATATGGAGTTTTGCTATACACCACCTCAAATGGAGATTTATCATGCAACACTCTCGATGATAACCTATTAACAAGATGCACAGTGGCCTGAATAGCATATGATTAGAACTTAATGGGCATGGAAGCTTGAGCAAGCAGAACTAGGGCCATTTCAACAAGATGTCTGTGTTTTCATTCAACCACTCCATTTTGTTCAGAAGTATAAGGACAGGTAAGTCGATGAAGAACACCAGCCTTGCTTAATTCATCTGTCATTGGTTGAAACTCTCATCCCCAATCAATTTGAAGAGCTTTGACTGTTCCACCAAACTGTGTAGCAACTAGCTTTTGGAACAACCTAAATACTGTAACAACTTCAACATTTGTTTTCAACAAATACAACCATGTAAATCGAGTGGTAGCATCAACAAATGACACATAAAATTAAAAACCATTTGAGGAAATATGTGGAGGTCCCCATAGATCAGAATAGACAAGCTGGAATGGCTCAGTATATACACTATCAGATCGAAGAAATGACAACTTATGACTTTTACCCAAATGACAAGCAACACAACTTTTATTAACATCATGAATAGTTTTTGCATCAATTTGTTTACAAACTTTAACAAAAGTATCATAGGCAGGATGACCAAGTCGCCTATGCCAAATTTTAAATATCTTGGAAGCTGCAATGGCAGTATGCACTTTAGCTACACCATTTCTGTTTTGGAGAACTACTGGCTTTGAAAGCATATAACTCATCACACTCTTCACCTTGCAGCAACACAACCTTGGTGACTTCCTCTCAAATACAACAGGTTTTGGCATGAAACTCAAGAAACACATGATTATCCCTAGCAAGCTTAGAAACAGAAAGTAGGTTCTTAGTTATAAAGGGAACATGGAGGATGTTACTTAAAGACAAAGTACGTGATGAAGCAGGCAACTCAGCCTTTCCAACTATATGAACATATAGATAATCACCATTCCCTACCATCAACTTACCAAGATTGCTACAATTCGTGTGATGAGTGATCGAGGCTGCATTAGAAGTAACATGGTACATTGCACTATAGTCAATCACCCACTGATCTTAACCAGTAGAATCAACATGTGCCTGATTTTGCCCAGCAGTCCTGTTATCATTACGTTACGTGCTATTGTGATTACAAAAACCACATGCACTGTCATTAGTTCCATTTACAACATAGTAAACTTTTGAGGTTTCAGGACCAGATATATGATCATCAAGTGTTATATCAGAGAAGTCCTCATCGAACCTATGCCAGCACTGACTGACTAGATGTCCATTCTTGCCACATAACTTACATTGAACTCTAGGTCGTTATCGTCCTCTGCCACGAGACCTCTCACGTGTGTAGGATAAATGATTGGATCAATATTTTTACTTTCCCCGATTCTTGTTAGAATTAGACTCGACATTTCCTTATGCAAGATTAGCACTAATAGGCATAGATTCAGGCTGTTAATCGAAGCCCTCAAGCTGTGCTTCAGCATTAATAAGCATGGTGTAGATGCTGTCAAGTGACAGTGAGTCACACATAGCAGATATGACTGCAATGAATGGTTGATACTCCCTTGTAAGACCTTTAAGGATGCTCGCAACATGTTTAGACACTGGGAACTGGGCTTCCATAAGAAGTTAATGCATCAGTAACTTCTTTCATCTTTGTAAGATAAATTCGCATTCTATCTTCTCCTTTCTTGAGGGATTGAAGCTTGTAATGTAAACTCATTACAGCAGTGACAGAACGATTAGCAAAGAATTGCAAGACTTTATTCCATACCTGAGCTGATGCTTCAACACCAACAAACTAAGGGAGTAAGTGAGGACTGACCGTTGACAACAACCAAGACGCTAACACACTATCTTGGGCCAGGAACTCCTCATACTCTTCATTGATAACTGCAACTCCTTCTTCACCAACCACAGTTTCTGGAGGAGGCATCATCGTTCCATTCAATATTCGTTCAAGATGATGACTCCTCACAATGAGTAACACATGTTGTTTCCAGAGAATGAAGTTTGTTTCATCAAGAATCACGTTCACCCTTTTATTAGTGAAGACTTTGGTGTTTCTTGAAGAAAACTCCATTGAAGTGGCTATGGAAGAATAGCTTTGATCCATAACAGCACGAACAATGAAAACAAACCCTAGGATACAACAGCAAATGATACCATGTTGAGAGAACGAGTAACCACTACTAAACAACTACACAACCAGAAAAGAATGATTTTTTTCTTATTTCTTAACACTTCACTTTACATGCATTATATAACACTCATACATTCATACGGTTACATGGCTGCTAACAACCCTAACCAACTAACAGCCTAACTATATCAACTCCATGAACAGTAATCAGCTGCAACAACAACTAGCAAACACACGAGCAACTGTGCACACGAGCAATTGCACTAGCTTACTTCAATAAGTTTTAAGCTGAGGCAGGTTCCCAACTTATCTTTGCAGCTTGATAATTGTTATCTCCCATCCCTCCTGCATATTGGGTCAGTTTTGGAATCGAGTTTTGAAGTTGAAGATGTTTGCTTTGAAGAAGAAGAAGAAGAAAGAAGGGGAAAAAAGAAAAAAATAGAAGATGTAGAAGAAGAAGAAGAAGCTGCCACGTCAGAAAGTTAACTGGGTTAAGTCAGCGAAAAACTAACGGAGGTAACGGTAATGACCAAAATGAAAACGAACTAAAGTTTGATGATTGTAATGCAAATTTCAAAAGTTGGAAAAAGTTAGAGTACTATTTATATAGTTTACCTTTATTATTATTAATTAAAATAAAACAAAAATGAAAATATGCGACTAATTGAATCATTAAATTCTAATAATAAACTTCTAATTGTCGAAAGTGAAAAATACAGTCTCTGTACAAAAAAAAATATTCTAAATTTCTTTCCCCTCTCTTTGTTTCTCTTCACCTTTCTCCTTTGATTACTCTACGATCTCTCTGACTCTCTCTCCGGTTTTCCATTTCACTGGATCGGCTAATCGGAGAATTCACAAACAATGTCCTATTCAGATTCCGACTCTTCCTCCAGCGCTGGTGACTACAAGAATTTCAGGCAAATCAGACAAGAAAGTAAGTTTTTTCTGTATCTCTTTGTTTGAAGTTTCTTTTTCAATCTAGTTTAATGCTCAGACATCAATATTCTGTGATCATTTTTCTAAATCCATCTCGTTGACAATCGTTAGTAATAGTTTGACTTAGTCATGAAATTTCAACTGATTTTTTTTTCGGAATTAGTTCGTCTGTTAAGTTGATTCTCAATGACTGGTTCCACAACTAACATTTTTCAGATTGAAGTCCTCTTATTTTGATAATAATGTACTTCAAAAACAAGGAAAAATTTGGATAAAGAAAAACGATATCGTGATTTTTTTTCATAACTAAACTGCAGAGCTGTGTTTTATATCTTTCATTTGTGTATTTTGATATATAAAACATTGGTAAAAAAAATGAAGAATGCGAATGACTTCGACATAAAACAATGCTAACTCAAAGCCAAACATTAGTTCTGCGACTGTTCTATATGCTTGCATTATATGTATTTTCGTATTTTTTTGTTGCTGAGAACTATTTTAAGAATGGTATTTCTTATGACTAGAAGAGATAATTTTTTCTCGACTTATGGTTGATTATTTTGTATAAGAGTGTTTCACCATGGAATTATGCATAATAGGGATGAGAAGTTAAAGGCAGTTTTTATTTTTGCACTTCGTAGAAGTTTAGGGTTGTTTCACCAGTATAGTCAAGGGGAGATGCCTGAACTTAGAAATTTCACTGCCCCTAGGTAAGTGCTTTTATTGAGGAGCCTTGGTTTTCTTCCTAGGCTTCATCTAGTGTTGGTTGTTCCTTCGCTTTCAAGGCTATTATATTATTTAAAATGCGTTTTATTTTTTATTTCTATCTTCATGCATCCTTTTGGGGTGATCTTGTTGCTGATTATTTTTTGGTTTTTTAACTGATTTCTTGTTTTTATTTATATTTTATGTAAAGGATTATTATACGAAATGCTTCGTTCTACACAAGTGAAGAATTCAAAATCTACATGGAAGGTTTGCTAATCTTGTGATTCTTTTTGGCCATTTATTGGCTTGGCTCTGTTTTGTTTCTATTGTGTACTATTTACTAGAAATGTCATTCTTATTTCTCTTTATTCTCAATCTGTTCTAAGCAGGTGTTATCATGGAAAAAGTTACGGTTAAGATAATGTCTTACTCTTGCAAGATGGCTGACATCACATCGAAAGGAGTTTCATGTAAACTCTGCTTTTTTTGGTCCTCTTAATGGTTACATAACAATTGGTCTAACTGGGTGTGGAACTAGATCATTATAAGCTTGGAATCTTAAAATTTGAAGGATCAATTTGTCCTGCTAGCTTAACGATTCTGTACTTGTTGTGCAGTGGTAGAAGATATACACAGACGTAGGCAGCCATTTCCATCAATGGATGCTATATACTTCATTCAACTAACTAAAGAGAAGTAGCGTATATTCCCTTTACTGAGTTTCAATGGTTATGTCTTTATCTGGCAGGGTGGCCCCCCTGCCCGCCCTTTTTGGGCTGAGTTTTTTTGTAGCTGATCACATTTTAGTCCATTTTCCTCCCTATTGTTACACGTTATACTTTATATTGCAGGAACACAGCAACACATGAAACACCATATCCAGCATTTTCCCATGTTATCTTGATTTTCATAGTTCTGACTTTTGACTACCTATATCTTAGATGAACTCATGTCATACTTGTGATATCAGAAACAAACCTGGCTTTATTTTCTAACTAAAAAATTTCCCTTTCAATGATGCTTGCATGAACGTATATTTTTGCTGAAGATGTGGTTCTGGTGATCAATTTTAAAAGAACCATTTATGTGAGACTTACATAACACATAACATTATAATATTTCTCCTGAAGTTTTTTCCTCCTCACCCTTATTTCTGCACTTATTTACTTTTGCAGCGTTGTTATGTTCTTGTCAGACGTGACTGGAAGGACACCCTTATATAAGAAGTATGTGCAAGATTTTTACTCCGTATTTGTCCTTACATGTGTGGTTATGTATCCTGAATCCTGAGTATATTACAGCTTCTGATATGCATATTTTTTTCTTGTATTTGGTGTGCGGAGAAAGGGCATTTGTTTACTACAGTTCACCTATTCCAAAAGAACTGGTGCACATATCAAGAAGGATTCAAGTGTCTTGCCTCACTTAGGTAAATTGAGTGAGGTTAGGCTTTTGTTCTTCAGATTGGTCACTGCATGAAGCATTGATTGTGCAAATAGTCACATTGTTTTGTCTTTTTTTTTCTTGTTCTTTTTCCTTCAATTGATCATTGAGTTGTCAGATGGTGCTCATTGTTTTCTGTTGGCATATGAAGATGAACTTGGAGTGCTTTGGTCACTAAGTTGAATACCATACAAAACCTAGTCAGAATTAAAGTTGCATAAATTCAATTAAAATAGTGGTTTTTAGCCTCTCTTTTTTCAAATAAAAAAGCATATATAACGGACTAACTGATGCCTTGATATCATTTGAAGATCATTTAATTTAAATTTGCTTGGAAGGCACAGAAAAACACCTAGGTTGCATTTTGAGATGCAAATTTTGGTCAAAATGAATCTTTTCAAGGCTTGTTCATGCTATATCTTGGGAAGGATATGGTTTCTAATACTTTTAATGACATAGGATGTAAGCTTATATTTTAGATTTATAATTTATCTAGTTGGGCTTATATGATCAAACATCTTCTAGCTAGTTGTTTTTCTTAATTGATGTTAAAGTGGTAATAGCTTGTCAGGTTGTTAAGATAACATTTATTTTCTTCACTAAAGGGTTTCATAAATGATCATGGGAAGGCTCTAGAGGACCTTTTTGGTGATGAGGAAAATACCCGCAAGGGTGATGCATGTTTTAATGTGATGGCAACCCACACTGCTACAGTTGTCGCTTCATTAAGGGCATATGCAACCTTTTCTGATCTTTATTCTAAAATGTTTGGAGCATTTTCTGAGACGTGTTTATTTATCAGGAGTTCCCTTTTGTTTGCTACTGGGCTGGCAAATCTCTCGATCCAATGACCATGACTACATTTCGTGATCTAATTCCCACCAAGATTGTAGCTGGAATCTGGAGTTGTCTTGTGAAATGCAAATCAATTCCTAACTTTCCTCATAAAGAAACATGTGAGTTGCTAATCCTTGATAGATCAATAGATCAGGTTTTCATATTAATATTGGTTGCTGGGTAATGTGATCCGCATTTTATACTTTTCCAATTTACTTATAACAAATGGTTAATTTCGTATCTAGATTGCTTCTGTCATACATGAGTGGACTTATGATGCCATGTGCCATGATTTATTGAATATGGAGGGGAATAAATATGTGCATGAGGTATGTTCCATTAGATCACTGTGTGTATTCTTAAGTGCTCTGAGAATTTTCTTTAGGTTCTGTATACCAAGCACGTGTACTGTTCAGGTTCCAAGCAAAACAGGAGGCCCTACCGAGAAAAAAGATGTTCTTTTGGAGGAGCATGATCCAGTATGGCTTAAGCTTCACCATGCACATATAGCAGATGTACGTATGCTGCTTTTGTACCTTTTCACAACCTATATTTGTTTGATTTTCCGATTCCCTCAAGTACCCATTTTGCAATTTTTTCAGACATGTCAACATTTTTTAAAAACGTCAAATTGGTAATGCATATGGGATCTTCACTGCCTTGTGTAAGGAAATAACTTGTACAAAAATGAATGCATTCATATATGAACCATCTCCACTGTCCAGTGTCAAATGCTGATTGGCTGTTGGTTTATTCTTAGGCCAGTGAAAGGTTGCATGAGAACATGACCAGTTTCATATCAAAAAATAAAGTTGCACAGCTTCAACATGGTTCAAGGTTTGGTTAATGTTTTTACTTCGTTATGTTCTAGGGATACTGTTGTCTCACCTTGCGCCTTTTGAATAGTTTTCATCATGTTATCCATTTCACAGAAAGTTGTTTAATTTGATTTTGAATCTTTATTGTACGTTCTATGATTCGTTATTTGATTATGGAAGAAAGTTGTTAGATTGATGTTTTATCTACCTGGTCATGGTTATTAACCAAGATGTCAGAACAAGTTATTAATACTGAAATGAAACGTCTGCAAACTGGAGTTAAATATCTATACATGATGCAACTATAACATTTTGTTCTTACTGAATTTATTTGGAAATTTTAGCTATGTCATTACACTTGTCTCATCATGAAGTTCAAACATCTTTATAGAGAAAGTGGTGAACTTTCAAAAAGGGAATTACAAAAAATGGTTCAAGCTGTGCCTAAATACAGTGAACAAATTGACAAGCTCTCTCTTCATGTTGAGGTTTGTTATCTCGTCTTTGCAAAAGCATGGAACTATTTGCCCCTGATTTCTACACTGGTTTGCAAAGAGAAGCTGTCTATCTTTGAACAAGTAGATTCTTTGTCACTCTTTCATTTGAATTTCTAGATACTACTTTTTGATAATTAGTTTAGCTCTTTAGCATCTCTTTTCTTTTACCCTATATTTCCTTAGTCAATATCCAATTTTCATTAAGGCCTTGTAACCGAAACAAACAATTCAGATATTTGGATGAATGTTGATGCTTCAAGCTTCACTAGTTTCCTAACCAATTTCAGATGTATGCTATAACTGAAAGAAAATGTACCTTATAATCAACTATATATCGTAAGATCCATGGGTTCATGCAGGTTGGTTTTATATATTCAGATATCTGGAAAAATCAACCGATTCATCAGGGATCAAGGGCTTTGAGAACTTGGGCAATTGGAGCAAGACCTTGTTTTTGGTGATGCCGGAATGAAAGATGTAATTAAATTTCTTTCTACAAATGAGGTAAGAACTTCTACCAGTGTAAATAATGTATCCTACTTTGTCACTTTGTCAATGTCACTTATAAAATATTACTCTTTGCAGACAGCATCTCGTGAAAATAAGGTGCGCTTATTGATGATTCTTGCCATCATTTACCCTGAGAAGTTTGAGAGTGAAAAGGTTCTTAATTTGATGAAGGTTTCTTTTATTTTCTCTCTTTCATTCTTTCTGTTTCATCCCCTCCCTTCCCTCCTTACTCCCCCAGGATTAGAAGAACACCCTTTTCTTACTGTGTCTGGAAGGAAAGAAGGAATGAAAGTGGATGAAAGGAAAAGCTACTCCCCTTTTCCATCATTTTCTTTGTTTTTTACAAAGGAAATAGAAAGAGGGGAAGTACCAAGAGGATTTGAACCTTTTATTGTAACTTTACTCAAGGCATCTTTCTTTCCTCCATTTTCCATCATTCTTACCAAACACGAAGAAGGAAAAATGACTCCCCCTCAACTTTTCTCCGTCCCTCTATTTTCTTTCCTTCCTACTAAAGTTAGGAGGGATTTGAGGTCGATCAGTTTACAGATTGCTAATTATATTTTAACCTTTTGTCAGTTAGCAAAACTATCACCCGATTGTTGTGTATATGAGATTGCTGGTGCCACCATCAGATGCCCAAAAAAGTTCAGTAGGTGCTCTCTCTTTGAAATTTGATATTCATAAGGTAATTTCTACTAGTTCAATCTCTGCTTATGGTGGTTGATTTGGTGTTGCCATTTACTAATAAATATGTTCATTTCTTCTTTTGTGCTCGTTTTCTTGTGAATTGCCAGAAGAAGCATGCAACTAGGAAAGACTGCAGCGGTGAGGAAGAAACATGGCAATTATCACGCTTTTACCCTATAATAGAGGTGAGAAAGAAACACATAGTTCTGCAGGATGTTTTTCCAATGTATTAGTCTTATGAAGTCTCCAAAATGTAAAATGTTAATTAATTTATTAATACATCCATCTCAACGCAATAGATTTATCTACAGAGGTGTACTATATTTCACGTGGGTCTAAATCTTTCAATGAGATTATTTTGCAGTTGTCTTGTTATATAATTGATTCCTACGGGCTACATCTTTCAACAAATTATCCAAAACGGAAGTAAAATGACAATCTTGCAATTTTGTATTTGACATTTTAAGAATTCATGGCAGAACACATGGATTTGTTTTCCTTTTCTAAGGAGCTTGTTGAAAAACTTTGCAGCGGAGAACTATAAAAGGATGATTATTCTTGCATGAAGGATCCTAGTCCATCTTTCTATGGAACATCTCAAGCTGCAACTATACATGATTCATGAAGCTCCAGTTGCTCATTCCATGAGATCGAGAAGGACACCGACATGGGCTCGGCCACGCAGCTCAGATAATTTTTTTTAGAGAATTACCCGGTTTTTTTAGATCCGGGTCGGCGGGTCGACGGGTCGGGTCAACCGGGTCGGGTAATTTTGCACACCCATACTAGGAACACACCTTTACCGATCTGAGAAGTCTGGGATGGTAGCCTACTCTCGGGTCCTA